GAGAGAGAGAGAGAGAGAGAGAGAGAGAGAGAGAGAGAGAGAGAGGAGGAGGAGCTGGAGATGGGGAACCTCACCGACGGTCCTGGGTATTGCGCAAAGTTGCCCACCCGGTAAGGAGGGCAAACCGGGTAAAACAGGGTGCAGGCCCAGGCCCCAGTGACCCGGTCCAGATTGTAAATTTGCACAAGGCCTGACAGAGGCGAAACGCAAAGAAGTAGGCCCAAAAGGGCATTCCGCTCCACCCAGATCTGTTAGGGGCATTTTGGCATTAACTCAACTTATAGGGGTATTTCACAAATTATACCTAATAATAATAAAATAATAATAATAAAAAGAGAGTTAAAAATCATGGCATTCATCAACCTCCAACTGGATCCGAACTTGGGCCTGTAATTCAACAGTTCATAGGCTCGTTGGTGTTCTGTCAATTTTTTTTTTATTTTTTATATAGCATTCATAGCATCATCATCAGTGTTCCCGGTGCATGCTGAACCATCAGGCAAATTGAAGTCTGAGAATATTGTACGTTTGTCTACTATCGTCTTGTGAACTCCTGCTTGTAGTTTTACTTCTTCCCTGAAGCCCTCAAGGCAACCTGTCATCATCTCTGGCTCCAGAATAGCTTGAGCCATTTCTACAGTATTTGCCATGATTAATTGCATAAATGCCCATTTCATGCTTCGGCAACAAGTACCCTCTTCCGCCGCAGCAGTGCAGTCATGCTTCACAGCCTGAAAGGCGACCCCTGAGAAATTGGCAGAGCAATTGGTTCTGTCAATTTTAGGCTCGTTGGTGTTCTGTCAATTTTTTTTTGTTTTTTGTTTTTTAAAAGGGCGACGGCCTTGATTGCTTCTGAGAATTATAAGAAATATGTTCAGATTAAAAAAAAAAAAAAAAAAAAAGATATTATCATTGAGCTGACCGGCCCCAGGCAATTCATTAGTAGTTACTCGTCAAGTTCCATCATCTTGGGTGTTTTCAACAGGTTTGTATTTCAACAATTCATGGGTGTACCCACTGAGATAGGCTCTTGGGTGCTCTGTCAATTGTGGGAGGCGGCGCGGGAAAGGAACTGTCCCCCTACCCTCGACCTCCACTTCGCTACTCCCCGACCTACTACGGTCGACTTCGATTTTTTTTTCCGATTTTTCTAGTCGACGCGTCTACGGCAGACTTCGACTGTGCTACTCTACTCTGCTGCTCTCGCCTTCGCCTTCGCCTTCGCCTTCACCTTCGCTTCTCTACTCTCCGCCGCTACCCTGGACTTCGACTTTGCCACTTCATTACTACGATCGACATCGACTTTGCTCTACGGTGCACGCACAATCACACACACACACAGGCTATTTTCTCATCGATTTGTGTCATAGCGAACACGATAACACACACACACACACACACACACACACACACACACACACACACACACTCAGAGCCGAGTGGGTGTGTAGACTGGGTTTTATGACTGTGTCAGATTAGTTTCTCAGACTTGCTGTGGTAACCGTTCTTGTCAAGGGTTTGGACCAGGTTTAGACCTGCTAGGATTGCAAGCTTAGGTTGGTGTGAGTAAAGTGGGGACCACTTTCTCTCTCAGGGGGGTGTCGCTGACTCTGGGCGATGTGGCTACTGTAGTCCTTATCCATCAGTCAAATGAATCCTGGGCAGACTGTCGGGGGTTCAACCTCCTGATGAGTCGGTGAAAGTCCGACGAAACAGTCTGTTCGGCAGCCAGAACCGTGTTCACGAGTGAACATGCGGGGGCTACTCCCGACCTGCAGGTGGGCGATACCGGCTAGGGGACAGCCGGTAGCATCAGGGACCATGCCAACAGGAGCAATCCCTGTGCGCCCCTCCCCTATGAACATCAGCAGACTCTGCTAAATGCCAATTGGGGGATCCAGTGGTCTATCTCTAGGTGGCGGGCGCGAAGCATGCCCAGGAAGATACCTGAGTGTATAGCGAACACGACAACACACACACACACACACACACACACACACACACACACGCACGCACACACACACATACATATATATACAGAACCAACCTCCTGATGAGTCAGTGAAATTCGAGGAAAGAGTCTGGCACAGTCATGCTGGTTTTTAGTGTATAGCAGATATGACAACACACATATACAGACATGCACACAACACACCCACACAGAACACACGCCCCCGACACATATGCAGACACGCACACAATTGACACGCGCACACATACACACGCACACATTTCCACCCAGGGTTGTCGTAGCTAAGCTCTTTCACTTGGTGGAGGTTCCTCTTCTTCTTCTTCTTCTTTTCCCCTCCCTCTTTCTCCTCCTCCACCTCCTCCTCCACCTCCTCCTCCTCCTCCCCCTCCTCCTCTGTTTGTTCTTGTTCTCCGGATGTGCCCTTACTTAGCGATGTCTATCTCGGAGCAGGTGCAATGAAGGCTATGTTCCTCTGCTTGGGTTGTTAGCGGTTGGCCTCTCTATTCCTATTTCATTTCATTTCATTTCATTTCATTTCTTCTTCTTCTTCTTCTTCTTCTTCTTCTTCTTCTTCTTCTTCTTCTTCTTCTTTGTGGCCACGTGGCTCGTCGGGAACATCTCATAACTCTGTGAACGGCGGCAATGGCTACTCGTGCGGTGGATTCCCCCAAGTTCGTGTGTTCGCGAGAGAGCGAGATGAGAAGGGACCGCTTGGAGTCGTTGGCATTCAAGAAGATATTAAAAGTCAAGACCGAGGAATGGCTGGATAAAGGGGAGGAAGGAGATCCCTATCGAAGGGAGGAGGAAGATCGGGATCGGATGGACGAGGAAGATCGGGATCGGCCAACGCGCCGCCAAGGAGATGGTACTGCTGCTAACGGTAAGGAGCACGTGGTGATCAAGGAGGAAAGGGAGGATAGTCCTCTGCCAGATGAGGAGGAGGAGGGGAAAGGAAGAGGAGCAAGAGGAGGGGGAGGAGGGGGAGGAGAAGGAGGAGGAAATGAGGAAAGGAGACCGACATTGACTCCCGACCGACGACGAGCGTATCTGCAGAAAGTGCAACGGATAGTGGAACGGGAGCGGGAGGGGAGAAAGAAAAGGAGGGAGAGAAGGAAAGGCGAGGTACAGCAGGAGGGAGAAGAGGGAGAGAGAGAGAGAGATTGGCGCCGTTGGATCGACCGGTTGATGGAGATCGAGAAAGACGTTGAGCCCCATTGCCGTCATTCGCCGACGGAGGTTTATCAATGGTTAGCGAAGAAGCAAGGCCTATCGATGCCCAGGTCAGCTGTGTGGAAATACATACACATGAAGCATCAGAGGGGGGGCGAGGGTTTAAATAGCGCGATCGCCATTGGATCGATGAACGAGGAGATGAAAGCGGCGGCAATGAGAAGGGAGGGGGGCGCAGTGAGCAGGTATGTCTGCACGGCTTGTGGAATCTCCCAGACCCATACCTGGAGCAACTGTCCAGCTAGGATTTGGGTTACGGGGCAGACCCCGGTAGAGTATCATATGTGGAAGAGGAGAGTGGGGGAGACGAGTCGAAAGGAAGAGGAGAAGGAGGAGGAGGACATAGACGGAGGTGAAGGAAGAGGAGGAGGGGAAGGGGGGAACGGACGTACCGCAGGGGCACACGTGAACGGCGGGGAAGGGGGAGCAGGAGGCGCAGCATCATCTGCGGCAGGGAAGCAGGATAGCCAACGCACGGGAAAGAAGCGTAGTAGAGGGAGTACGGAGGCGGCGGATGGGGAGGAGGAGGGTCGGCGGGCAAAACGCCTGCTGCAGACGAGGGGGAGCGCTGTCCGGCAGTGGGACCCGGATGGCGGCCAGGGGGGGGGGGGGGGGGGGGGGGGGGGGGGGGGGGGGGGGGGGGGGGGGGGGGGAAGGGGGGGGGACTAGACCCGGCAGCGGGGCTTGTAACACCCCTAACCCTATCCCTACTTGTGCGGAAAATAGGGGAGACGCGGAACACGTGGTAGGTTTAACAAGTGCCGTCGGCAGGAGGGAGGAAGTGCAGGGGGAGGGGGAGGGGGACGGTGAAAGAAGAAGGGAACACGTGGCAGGTCGCGACCTGGGAGAAGGGTTGAGGAAAGCAGATGGGATCTCGGCAGCCACCCCCGCCGTGACTCCTGAAGCCAGACGGGGTCGGAAACCTGGCAGCGTCCCGGCCGGTCTCGGTAATGTGCCCTTTGAACCGATCCCGGCCGGTGAGAAAACGGTCAAGGGGACCAGAGGGAGGATGCGCATCTGGCGGTGCAGTTATCCCGGCTGCGGCCATCCTGTGCGGCATCCAGGTGTCAGTTATCAGAACATCAAGTTGCACTGGATAGGTGTCCACGTGAATGGCCCGAAGAAGAATCATACCCAAAATAGAAGTAAAGGGCGGCAAGATGCCACAGGGACGAAAGGAGGTGGTGATGGAGAAGCAGGAGGAGAAGCAGGGGGAGAAGGAGGAGGAGGAGGAGGGGATGGGGAAGAAGAGAGGAGAAAGGAGGAGGAGATGGAGAAGGAGAAGGAGAAGGAGATCGCTGCAGAGATCGCCAGAATGAGAAAATGGGAAGAAGACGACAGAAGAAAGACCGAGTTACTCAGACAGTACTCGATCCAACGTGGGGCGGAATTTCGGAGGGCTCTCTGTGCCATTCAAGACATGACGGGAAGACGCGTGGCTACCATTCTAGAGGGCCATCTCCTGGGTAGCTTCCGTGCGGACGATCTTCTCCTGCTGGGAATCGTGTTGGAGGAGTTTTGCAGATACAGGGTGGGGAAAGAGGTGGCTGCTCTGTCCAAGGACTGCTCGATCCGTCATGAGGAGGTGAGAGAGGAGGAGAAAGAGGAGGAGGAGAAAGAGGAGGAGAAAGAGGAGGAGAAAGAGGAGGAGGAGGAGGAGGAGGAGGAGGGTGGTGGAGGGGAAGGGCAGAAAGGCAAGGACGGAACAGAGCGGGGAGGGGGAGAAAAAGGGGAGGAGGGAGAAGGACAAACGAATGGGGAGGAAGGAGGGACAGGGAGGGAGAAAGAAAGGGAGGAGGAGGAGGAGGAGGAGGAGGAGGAAGGAGAGAAAAGCAAGCAGGGGCCAGGGGAGGGAGGGACACAGAGGGAGGAGGAAAGTGAGGAGGAAGAGGAGGATGATGATGATGATGAAGATTGGCGGTTGGAATGGGGGGCATAAAGGATGGGTAGTAATAAAGAAAAAGGTCTCCATGTTGCCACGTGCACGCTAAGATGGGGGAGGAAAAGAGGGTGAGAGAATGAGTGACTCAGGAAAAAGGCGAGAGAGGGTGGTGGAGAAGAGGGAGCAGAGCTAGGGGACGGGAGGGGATTCCATGAACATAAATATACAAGAAAATAGGGACGTGCCACGTGGGTGCTATCCAAATTCCCATGTAGTCGCTCGAACGCCCTTGTGTATGTCATCAAGAAAGATGACTAGGTACACAGATTCGAGTCCTTGTACTCGGAGTTATGAGGGACTCTCTGCACATGCTTTCGGAGGTCTCCTTTTTTAAGTAGAGTAGGGGCAGCTCATCGGTGAATGACCCTACAGATTTGTTTGATTGCTCGGGGGGGAGTGATTGCTCGGGGGGGGGGGCGGGGGGGTGCATCTCGAGATGGCCTTCTTTCAAAGGCTCCGTTTGTGTTGTATTTTTTCCATGTCAGCTCTTTCATCCCCATTTGCCGTGATGACAGCTGTCAAAATCGGGCGATGCTTTGGTGCTGCCCGGTGGTATGTTTTGGACACCCTCACTCATCCTCTTGCATTGATTAGGTCAGCGGCAGTAGGGCTACCAGCGGTCACCGAAGGTGGTGGCTGCGGCTGTTTCCTCGCGAAGCAACATAGCCTATCGCTGCTCCATCGCTGTCATCCTGTAGGTTTTGGGGAGAGCTGATGCAGCTCACACCCTCACTCACCCTCTTTCGATGATTAGGTCAGCGGCAGTATGTCTAGCGGTCATTGTGGGTGATGGCTGCTGCGGCTGTCTCGTCGCGCAGCAATAGTCTATCGCTGCTCCTTCTTACTGTCATCCGGCCGGTAGCTTTTGGGAGAGCTGATGCAGCTCATCATGCGGCGTGGTTTTTTTTTTTTTTTTTTTTTTTCGAAAGGGCGTGTTCATTTTTTCTTGGGTGAAATTGCGACTGGGTAAGGAGGGACGCACAACCTTACACAGATGAGATAGATAGATAGAGAGATAGAGAGATACAAAGGCGGAGAGAGAGAGAGAGAGAGAGAGAGAGAGAGAGAGAGAGAGAGAGAGAGAGAGAGAGAGAGAGAGAGAGAGAGATTTTCTTTAATCTTGGCAGAGGTACTTTACTTAAACTGTAAGCTCGAGGGCTGAGGTCCCACATGGCCGGATTCTACATTTTTGACCGTAAGATCAAATTACGTTTTTTTTGGTGTAGGGATCGGCGGCAAGTAATGAAGGATGTGAGCGATTGCCACCTTGCCACAGGATGGTGAAGGTCTCGTCCCACTACTGGCTAAATGCAGAAATGACTGTGTATCTTGCCGCAGAACGTGGCAAGATACATGTATTCCCCATTTTTTAACTTAGCAAGCAGTGGAATGGGATTGGGATCTGAGCATTAGCATATGGGTCATGGTACCATGGTGCCATCTTGAGGTGACTTCCCCTGGGTCCCTGCAATCCATCTGACCTCCCAATGGACGAGTACTACGGGCATCTCCTCAGGCCTGGCCACCACCCTCTTAAAAAAAAAAAAAAAAAGGGAGGTTTTTGGTCCCCTCTTAGATTTGTCATGCTCATGGTCAATCATCGTGTCTTGTCACGCTTAAAACTTTTTCCCATCAACTCAAGAATGTTCATGGTTCTTTTTAAATTTCTCTTCTGACTCCCACCTCCCTCCTTTCTACTCATGCGGAGCTACACCTTCCTAAACATCAAGAATATATTCGGTTAAAAATAACAAAAATCCTAGAACGCGAGGTAGGAAAGGCGGGAATCAAACTGTCACTTTTTTTCTCAGGAACGGTTAACCCAAGTCAACACTGTAGTTAGTGTCCGTTTCTTGGATCCAGCAGATGCAGGTTAATCTTTTGCAGCTCGGTCAGTCGATGCCAAACAACCGACCTAGTTAGGTTAGGTTGTTCATTCGGCCTTTGGCATGTTTTCCCATGGATTGTCGTAGGGTGATGTTGCACTTATTGATTAACAGAGACTGTCCCTCCTCCGAAACGTCTATACGCAAGGAGGCGACACTTTGCATGTACCGGCAACTCCATCCACCTTTTCAACTAGAAAGGACTAGTTGATTAAACTACCAATACCTTTCCCATATGGCGGCCGCTGGCAGCAGCCTCGGAGGCCCGAAACGAAAAATGGGCTGCCGATTCGATGTATCGGCGGCGGCCCTCCCTCGCTTGGCCCCCGCGCTACCCGGCGCGTCTCAGCAAAATGGCTGGGAAAGGTACTGGTGGTTTAACAGATACTGTCCCTCCTCCTCCTCCCCAGAAGGTCTACTCTGCAACCCCACATGCCTTTTCAACTAGAAACCAATGATGTTCTGCGAAAACAAGTTACCTTTGTGAGGAAATCCTGAATAACGTAGAAAGAAATACAGGGAATAGATGTATTGCTTTCTACTTGAAAAAGAAAAAGAAAAAAAACGTAGAAAGCGCTACATCTGTTGTCTGTAGCCTTCTTCTACTACCAGTTGCCTCCTCTTGGCGACCTGCAGGCGATCAACCAAGCTGCAATTTGTGTGGTCCCATTGTGCAGGCCCCTTTGTGGAAAATCCACTTGCCCTTTTTTCTTTTTTGTCCTTTTTATTTCCTCCACACAAGGAAGGTGAAAAGAAGATAACCTTTTGAGTGTCAGGTGACTTTTCAAGTGGAATCGTGAGGGTTCAATCTTATAACCATCGCTTCAAAGGAACATCTGCAGCAGGTCCCTGTTTCGATGACTGGGTGAGCACCTTTAGGCTGTGCCAAATAGTTTGGTGTTCCTCTTGTGCAGAGTCTGGTTTGCAATATATTCTGATGAATTACGGAGTACCTTTGAGATGTCCCAAATTGTCCGTATCCTGTTGTTTCGAGTCCAATTTGCAATATATTTTGACGACTTGTTGAACACCCTCAAGATGTGCCAAACAGTCGGTGTTCGGTTGTTTGGAGTGTGGTTTGCAAAATGTGAGGACTACTCTGATGAGCACCTTTGAGGTGTCCCAAATAGTCCTTACCCTCGTGTTTGGAGTCCAGTTTGCAGTATATTTGGATTTCTTGTTGAACACCCTCAAGATGTGCCAAACAGTCGGTGTTTGGTTGTTTGGAGTGTGGTTTGCAAAACATTAGGATTACTCTGGTGAGCACCTTTGAGGTGTCCCAAATAGTCAGTGTCCTGTTGTTTGGAGTCCAGTTTTGCAACATATTTGGATGATTTGGTGAGCACCTTCAAGATGTGCCAAACAGTCAGTGCCCGGTTGTTTGGAGTCTGCTTGGCCATATTGAGGATGTGCTTGCTAAGTAGGCAGCCCCCTTATACGGTCAACGAGGGTGGTATCGAGGCATGAGTTCAAGGATCTTGCATGTAAGTTATAAGGAGCTCGCTGCGCACGTTTCCTGCGGTTCCTTTCTTTTGTTTTCTTTTTCAAACAAAAAAGGGCGACGACCTTGAGATATCATTGTGAAATTGACTGGCCCTACGTAGTTCAGGAATTTTGTTCATTTCGTTCCATCTGGATTCGAGCTCAGCTCTGCATTTCAGCAGTTTATGGGTGTACCAACTGAGCTAAGCTCGTTGGTAAGCTGCGGGTAATTTGTGAGGTTCTTGCTGGATCCTGACATGTTTTTTTTTTTCGAGGGACACCATCGGAGTCCATTCTTCCCATTGGGGGAGGGGAGGTGTGTTGTCTCTTGTTGATGCGGTGGTTGCCGGAGCTTTGCTTTGCACACCAGCATGCTGCTCTTGCACTGATGAGTTGTCGGCAGTCAGTGGCAGTTGGTTTGCTGGTCACTCCAGGTGGTAGTGGCAGTGGTGGTGGTGGTGGTGTTGAATGCTTGCCTTGGTGCCAGCACTCTCATCTGTAGGTTTCAGAGAGAGCGCATCCAGCAGGTCCTGATTTGGATGACTGGGGTGAGCATCTTTAAGATGTGGCATGTAGTCAGTGCCGAGTTGTTTGGACTCCAGTTTGCAACATAAGGGAGTGTGCTTGCTAAGCAGGCAGGCCACTTGCAGTTCATGATGGTGATATCCAGGCAAAAGTATGGGAATCTTGTCTGCAAGTTATAGGGACCTTGCTGGACATATTTGTTGTGGTTCCTTTTCGGTCAGGAGTGGCGGTGAAGGTTCGAGACAAGTTATGAGGTTCTTGTTGCATCCCCGGCAGTTTTTTTGGAGGGCTTGCATCGCAGTTCCTCCTTCCGATGGGAGAAAGGGAGATGTGATGGCCACTTGTTGGTGTGGTCTTGGCTGGAGGCTTGTTTTGGGCACCCCTATTGCTCCTGTTGCCGTATTAGTGTCCAGCAGTCGGTAATGATTGGGATGCTGGTCGCCTCACATAGTGCTGGCGGTGGTGTCAAATGCTTGCTGCGCTGCCAGCAGTGCCATTTGTAGGTTTAGGAAAGAGCGGATGCGGCAGGTTCGCGCCTTTTTTTTTTTTTTTTTTTTTTTTTTGAAACTTTGTATATGGGAAACCTACTTAACGAGGTGATAAGAGCATCCCCGGTAAGTAGGTCCCGGCGTCGAAGGCTCCATCTATTGGTGGGGAGCTACATCTGCTGGAAATCGGGTCCAGCGTCCCTGTACAATGATGTGAATGTATCTGCTGGAAATCGGGTCCAGCGTCCCTGTACAATGATGTGCATGTATCTGCTGGAAATAGGGTCCAGCGTCCCTATGCAAAGATGTGTTGAAGTATGCACGTTAAGCAATATATCAAGCATAGCAACATAGTAAGTGAGGCATCAAGCCCAATTCTATCAATCAATCAAGAAATCAAACTCTAACACAGATACAATGATGTATATAGATGTCATTTCGCACATATGCTCACCAGCAATAACAAACGTAATCATCATCAATCCTTTCATGATTAAGAGTCGAGGGTTAGAAAGATGAGAGGCAATCAACCCTAATCATCTGAGAGAGATCATCTATCCTATCTCCACCCGGTGCCAGAAAAGAAGACACGATTCATCATGAGAAAACACCGGGTAGGGGTGGGGGGGAACTGTAAGTCGCACCTTCAACCAAACCCCACTTCGCCAGCCACAACAAGCTACGAATTCTCCCCCGCTGCACTGATGGCGGCATCTTTCCCATGATGCTGATAAGGAGCCTGGATGCAGAAGCACCATTCTCTGCCCCTCTTCCCCCGTGGTTGTCGCTGCCGCCGTCGTCATTGTTTCTATTACCGTTGTTGTTTCTGTTTTTATTGTTATTGTTGTTTTGTTGTTGTTGTTGTTGTTGTCCGTGTCATCCTTCTTACGCTCCTCACCTTTATCCCCCAATCCCTGCTCACCATCGTTGTTATTGTTACTGTTGTTGTTGTTGTTGTTGTCATCGTCCTCTCCCATCTCAACCATCTCGTTGTTTTCGCCGTCTTTGTTGTTGTTTATATTGTTGTTGTTGTTGTTGTTGTTGTTGTTGTTGTTGCTGTTGTTGTTGTTGTTGTTGTTGTTGTTGTTGCTACTGTCAGCGTTCTCTCCCCTCTCGTCCATNGTTGTTGTTGTTGTTGTTGTTGTTGTTGCTACTGTCAGCGTTCTCTCCCCTCTCGTCCATCTCGTTGTTGTCGCTGTCGTTGTTGTTGTTGTTATCCACCTTCACGGTCGTATCACCCAGTTTGCTCATTCGCTGCTTGCCGGCGTTGTTGTAGTTGTTATTGTTGTTGTTGTCATTGTTGTTGTGAACTACCCCACCCTTCTCGTGAATCTCACCCATTCCTTGCGTCTCCTCTACCACGACCACCGCCTCTGCCATAAACCCCTGCTCCACCTCCATTATTGTTGTTGTTGATGTTGTTGTTGTTACTGTTGCTGTATTTGCTTCTGCTTTCGCCGTTGCCGCTGTCGCTGCTGCTGCTGCCGTTGCCACCGTTGCCAATAGCCCCCACTCCCCTTCCCACTCACCTGCGTCATCAGTGGCATATTCCCGCTCTCCATCGCCAACTGCACTCTCATCCTCAACCTCCCACTCACCTGCATCATCAGTGGCATAATCCCTCTCTCCATCACCAGCTGCACTCTCATCCTCAAACGGATAAGAGAGTGCCATCAGGTTAACCCACCTCTCTCCTGCCCCCCTCTCATACTCGTTGCTCTCACGCACAGCAACATCACAGTTCGTCTCACTTTCGGATTCCCAGCTCTCAAACACAGCGCGGATATTTGTAAAATAGCGGAGCACGTCGCAATCATCATCTTGCTCACCTTCAGTATCCTCTGCAAGCAAGAGGTCGTCTTCATTATGGAAGAGCATATCCTCTAGTCGAAGTGCTCCACGTTGTAGCTCCCCCTCCATCTCCATCACTCACCGAGATTGCTGCGTCACGTATTGCTATTCGTCATCGTTCTTCACCGCTGGCGCTACCCCTGCCCGCGCGTCGCGGACGTTCAGGGTACCTACAGCAGATGCCACGTGGCAATCAAAGAGTCATGCGCTTCTGCCGGGTGCGCGCACAGGCCTAGCAGCCTGGGAGTTCACCTCCCCAGGCGCTAGTCGAGCCGGGGGAACCGGGCCTACCGGTCTGTCGGCGTCTGCAGCAGGTTCACACTAAAACCACCAGTACAACCACCAGTACATGTGAGCCTTTTTTTTACATGGCGGATTCCCACTGCGGCCAAGCTTCGCTTAAACGCCAACGGCACACTTTTTTTCCCCTTTCTTGGGCATTGCAAGCCATTGTGTTATGGTAGTGGTCCAGGTGATACTATGGGGCTCCGTACTACTACATGGGGCAGGTCATAGAATGTGGGCTGGATGGCATTATGTGGGCTGGGGGGTACAGTGTGGGGTTGGTGGGCGATGCTACGTGGGCCGGGTGGTATAGACGACCCAAAAAAACAGAAACTAACTGGGGGGAAAAAAAATAAAATAGCCAGGCCCATATGGCTGAATGATACAGCCATACCAACGGGGCTACCTCAGTTGGTACACCCATGAACTGTTGGAATGCAGACCTGAGTTCGATTCCAGATGGAGCTAGATGAATGAATGAATTTCTGAATAATGTCGGGCTGGTCAGTTTGACAATGACCTGAGGACTGAAGACTGAGGCCTTGCAGCCTCTGCTGCTTTTTTGTTTTGTGAACATTGTATTTTTCCTTGGGAACCGGTACTCATAATAGAGGAGTGGGAAATATATATATATATATATATATATATATATATATATATATATATATATTTCAAAAGAAAAAAAAAGAGGAGGAAAAAAAAGAAAGAAAAAGGGTACAGCCATCAACTGTTAATAGACAGACCTGAGATCGAACCCTCCAGTGGGAAGTAAGAGAACAACTCTGAGATCTTTTTCCTACTGTTGAGGTCAGCTCCGTCCCGATTCGGGCTCCAGACAGGTTGCTAAGAGTTCAGTCCCTTCTTTCAAATCGAAACGGCCCGCTATGTACTTGTATTCAAACGTTCCCCAAAAGCGACAAAAAAACCCTGCCTGCAGCACTAACGAATCTCCACATTGGCCCATCAAAGAGAGAATGGTCCTTTGGGACATTTTAGCATGGCCACTGCGCGACGATGATGCACATAAGTCCAGAAATTTGGTCTACGGTGTGACATTTCATTAGGCACACCCCGGGCATATGCCCCGTTCCCAACACAGGGCGGTGAAGTCTGACGTGGGAGTGTCACACAAGACCCACATTTCACTTAAACCGCCACTACCTGCAATCCTATTCTTGCTGAACCTGAATTTTACTGCAGACCGAGTTTTGCCGAGCTTGGGTCCCATTGTGTTTTCTTTTCCGGTACTCATGGCAGTTGCATCCCAGAAAAGGGAAGAAAAAAGAAGAAGAAGAAGAAGAAGAAGAAGAGGAAGAAGAAGAAAAAAGGAAGAAGAAAAAAAAAAGAAACTTCCCTGACGCCGCCAGCCGATACATTGTATGAGGTGCTAGTGTGACTGTGCCCTCAGTGAGGCCTTCTGTTGGATGAACAACAAAGAAGAAGAAAAAAGAAAAAGCATCCCTTATGCTGTGATTGCGGTCGGATACACGACGCTATGTACTAGTGTGAGTATGAAGTGAGTGAGGCAGTTAGTTGCCCCGCGTGGAATACGCTGCCTTGCTGGCAGGGCACCAGAAGCAAATGAAAAGAGGGAAAGAAAAAACAAAAACACTCACATTCCACACACAGTGGCCAGATACATTCCTCAAAGCACTGGTGAGACTTCGACCTCGGCAACTCGGAGGGCCTTCCTGGACGTCGCTGGATTCGAAGCTCTTAGTTTTTGTTGTTTTTATTTCCCTCACCACGGGCCCACAGGGTCCGAATCTTTTCTTTTCGTTTTCTTTTCTGCCGACCCTAGGCCAGACCCCCGAACTTTTCGGATGAGGTAATTTTCCCGAATGGGACTACAGCTGTGAAAGGTAGTGGTGATTTAAAGAGTATGATGACAAAGAACTCACTCTATATGATTATCCAGATGGTCTATATAGGTCCCTATGAGACTCCCTCCCACCTTAACTCTCATTATCTCTCCCTGGTGCACCCCTACTCTCCCTCCCACCCATACTCTCATTATCTCTCCGTGGCGCACCCCAACTCCCAAGATCCTACCTCACTGTATTACCAGTCAGGATCATCACCCTGCTATCATCTCAACGGGGGTGACCTGACCGGACCAGGGCTAAGCAGGACGTACCCCCCTTAGCCCTGATTAAAGCATAGTTGGACGAGCCCTGTTGTACGGGGAGTTCGAGCGCTAGGCGCAGACGTTCATCTACAAGTCCCATAGGCAACCCATTTCTGTCCCCAAGTTGTTATGTTGTTCATTATATATGTGCTTTATGTAGTTGCAGCATAGAGGTCCTAGCCTATTATCAGTAGATGTACAGCCCCCATCTATCCCTTTTACCGATAGACGTTGCCCTAGACCTCTAGTTCCATCGTTTTCGTTGTAATCTTGGAGGGACCCTAGCCTCTGTCATTAGTGAGCCTGCGGCCACCATCTGTTTCCTCACCTCGGTCATCAGCTCGACCCCTCCGGTTGTTATGTAATGTCTTGAGCAGCCCTAGTCTTCGTCATCAATGCTAGGCCACCATCTGTTCCTTACTTCCGTCATGAACTAGGCCTACCGCTCTGATCTATTTTATGGATACAGGAAGCAGACAATCCTCACCCCCTTAAGACAGCCCTACTGCGGGTCCAACGATATCCTCCACCAGAGCATGTCCTACATATACTCCTCCTGACCCCTAAGACATCCTCTACTGTAGGTTCCCTGCCGATATCCTCCAATGGAGTCTGCCCTACCTACCCTCCCTATAGCAGGACCCCCCTTAACCAACTCACGTGAACAGTCTCTCCACAACAACCCCATCTGTATCCCCGTTGTTTCAAACCTTTGTAAACCGGACAGGTATTGAACCCTAGACCTTATTCTTATCAGCCCTCAGCTTTATCTACTGAGCTACAACATTAATTGATCTACATGTGTGCTAGGCTCAAGTGAGGGATAAGTGTGCAGTCATCAGGGCAACCCATGGACCAAGGACATCAGGCAAACCTCTCATAGCCTAAATCCCACCTGGACTAAACCCCTTGGGCGGTACATGCAGTGTCTATACTCCTTACCAAGGTGTGCGAACAGTTGTGCGCTGGTCAACATCCACCAGTGTTCATGCGTGAGGCTGTGGGGTTTTGGACCCGCAACCTCAAACCACAATGCGCATTTCCAACCGGTGCTCTGCCCACTGCGGTTCCTTTTCGGCTGGGAGTACTGGGTCATTAGTGAATGTTCAAGACGATTCATGAGCTTCTTGTTGGATCTCAATATTTCTTTTTGGGAGGGCCTCGTTCAAGTGTCTTCATCCCATCGAGGAGTTCCTTCTTCGCTTGGAATGGAGGGGTTGTGATGGTCTCTTGTTGGTGTGGTGGTGGATACAGGTTTGTTTTGGACAATGCCATCGCTGCTCTAATGATGGTTATGGTCGGGTGGTCAGTGGCTATTGGGATGCTGGTCATTAAAGGTGGGGTTGATGATGTTGGATGCTCGCAGCGCCAGCACTGTCATTTGTACGTTTGGGAGAGAGTCCCAACTTACGTACAAGATGCTAAAATTCACGCTTGGATACTGCCCTCGTGGGAGACTTAGCAAGCACGCTGAATTATAGTGCAATTCCATTGGAGTATCCTGATCCAGTGTGGGGAATAGAGTTGTATTGGCTTTCTTTGGTGTAGTCGTGAGTGGAGGTTTCTTTCCAATGCCCCCTTATGGCTGCTCTTGCGATGACAATACCTGAGTTGTATCCTGACCTGTATGGTCTGTCCTTTTTTAATATAAAGGGCGATGAACTTGAGATATCACCACTGGCCTGACCGGCCCTACTAGGTAATTCATAAGGATGTTATTTTGTTCATGTGATTGCATTTATGGGTGTACCAACTTGAACAGAGCTAGCGCCATTGGTGTGTTGGCTCTCTTTGCTGTAGTGGTGGGTGAAGGTTTCTTTCAAACATCCCCATCGCTGCTCTGGCGGTTGGAATGCTGGTTATTGGATGTGAATGTGGAGGTGGTAGTTGTGTCGAATACTTACTTCGGTACCAGTACTATTATATATAGGTTTGGGAACTAACGAACGCAATTCCCTTTTCAAATGACTCGAACGTCTCACCAACATAGACTTCCACCCATGAGATGTATCCAGCGACGAAATAAGAATCAAGCAAACATGTCGAATCCTTGCCTTAGAAACAGAGTCACCATACACTATACGAACCACCAACCTTTTCGCACGTGCAACCCAAATCTTGAAAGAATACCTCGTGATAACAGACATCACAATCTGAACCGAGTACGCTTTTCACTGAAAGTCCTTAGCGTTGTATAAGCAGCAATTAATTGATCCAGGACCCAACCCTTCAGCAACTGTCGACTAACAAGATTATTCAAAAAAACAGCTAGTGGAGCTTTCAAGCCCAGTGATCGACTTAGAAAGGGAATGACCCTAATAAATTTCAACGTAACACAGCCTTTAAACCAACCTGCTGCATGTCACAACTCATCACATCCATAAACACATGATACTAAACTACCACCATACAGTCTTCTCAAAACATTCCATCGATCGATAACACGCTCACCTCCCACACATTTGACCACCACTTTGTGCAACAAGTTGACCCTGCAAAAATCCAAAATCTTCAGTAGACTCCCAGACACGATCCCAACACTTGAGTGAAAGGTAACCAGAGAACCAGAAGATTTACTCTCAGCAACAACGGGGACCACAACTCCGCAATTTTTATGTCTCCCTGAGCCTCTCTCGCAGGCCTGGTCGTTGCCTTCGCGACTTCCTAGGCTTATCCCTAGTGTTCAATGTCGGCGAAAACAATTTGATAAAGTACTTCTTAGTAGCC